CCTAAGTACTATCCAATATAAATTACAGAGAACAGTAGCCATTTAACAAGTTTCCTGTAGTTTCAACGTTCCATAGGGAACTCTACTGAAACACCGTACAATTTGTGCTGTAAAAAGCAGAGGGCCAAAAATTAAGATATAACTGAGATAACTTTTCAAAAATAATGTGCTACTTTTAATTTCAACTGATTGAAAATATTTATATTATGAAATAAGTATTGCTGTACAATGTATTTTCCTTTAAAAAGTCCAATAGTCACTGCCTGATTATTCTGCAATAGAGAAGTGATAAATACCTAAACTTACTGACTTCCTTTTGAAAGTAGAGATGGAGAAGCTACGTAATCAGATTGTGTTATCTTCTAATTCCTACCACTCATTAAATTTTCATGTTTCTTCTTTGTCTCTTTTATTATAATAACTTTTAAACAAAAAAATCAGCCCAGGGTTATGAGAATCTAACTATCAAGATCAATGTAGAAATTCAGAGGATTTGTGTTAGGAATATTTATTTTGTCCTCGGTCAATTTTCCTTTGCTCATGTCACTTTTTTTCATGGTGACTCAAGTTTAATTATCAAACTAAACATTACCTTTTGCGGGGGGGTACGCTTCTGTTAGGGCTCAAACCCAGGGCATTGTACATACTACACAAGCGTTCTACCACTGAGCTACATCCCCAGGTCAACATCACTTCTTAAAGGATTAAGTTCTTCAAACAGGAGATTCATGAAAAACCAAAACTATACCAAAATCACTTTGTCCAAACTTAAAAGTTTCAAACTGTCACAAAGAACACAGTTTTTAAATTTATTTGACAGCCAAGAAAACAAAGTTATTATATTCAAGCCAGAGTAACAAACACTGCATTACTACATTTATACTGGAAACTATGGTATTTAGTTTCCAGGTTGGTAGGACAAAATGGGCTTAGTGTCCGATACAGCACACTATGTAAAATACAGAATTTAACATTACTGCCCCCCAAATAAGTGCTATCCCTGAACTGGAAAGTTATTCACTTAGCAGTACCATGATGCAAGTTAATAAGATCTAGTTTACCACGGAATTGAATTTTGTGATGGAAGAACTACTTAAGTGTTTACATCACTGGCCACCATACCCTTCTAATTCTAAAATTAGATAGACTGTACATGTAAAAATACACCAGGGAGAATCAGATTTATGTGTTATGGTGTGCTAAGACTTCGCTTAAGGTAGCAAAACAACAGACCAATCCATTTACTTCTGTCAGTAAACACACACTTTACTGCTTTCTAGTCCTTCTACCCTTGGATTAAGTCACACCTTATTTCAAAATGCAAGACAGCAACTAAGAGGAATGTGACATCTGGATAACTCAATTATATGCCTAAGAAAGACTACTTTCTGCCTTCTACCAAGAAATAGTAATTTAGATTAAGCCAACTTTTCTTATAAAATTGCTTCAGAAAATAACTACTAACAGAAAGCACTGTATTTATTGCCAAAGTAACTAGACAAAGTGAAATCAATCTTCTAAGACCAAAGCTCACTTAATATACTACAGTAGCAAAGGAAACAAAATATCTAAACATGAGACCAAAGCATAAACAATTTAATCTATATTCTAAATGCTTACTTTAAAGAATAATTTGTAGCAACCTGCTATAAATGCATTCTCTCTCCCTCTCTTTCCCCTCCTCTCTCTATATATTTTCATAGCACAAGAGAACAGTCTTATCACACTTACACTTACTTTGAATTCATATACACCCACTAAAGGAAATGAAAGAGCTAACTAATATTTGTTCCCTTAGCTGATCCTCAGTTCTCAAGTTCACCTGTGCTTCTCAAGATAAACACTTCCCCCATTATGTATGCTTCTAGCATTAGTTGTATTTTTCACACACTATTACTGTAAATGCAAACCAACTGCTGTACTTAACCTGGGACTCACAGATGAAAGAAAAAGCAGTTTTTTCTAAAGCTGCAAAACCTGGCCATCTAGGAATTCAAGAGCTGCTGGTTCTACATGCAACTGAAATTTTCCAGGGTAGCTTTGATTACAAACTATTTTGCCATCTGGGCTGGCTTTAGAAACCCACACAGTGAAACATATCCATACCCTCACCCTCCAGCCTAAGACCACCCAAAGCCTTTTTTAAAAGGCTTTGCATTACACGAATGATGCAAAGACAGCAAACTCAGTTTTGGATGTTGTTTTGAGACAAGGTCTCACTATGTAGTTCAGGATAGCTTTGAACATCAGTGTAGCCCAAATTGGCCTTGAACTCACTGAGATCCTCCCTCTGCTGATCCTTGCTGCCTCAGCCTCCGGAGTGCTGGGATTACAGGTATGTACCACCACACCCAGCAGTTTTTGAGTTTTTTGTTTGTTTTTTTTTGAGCATATCTTAACCGAAGACCTACTATATGCAAGTACATTGCTACATACTAAACTGGCACTCTACTTATTAGCAAGAGAGGAATTTGCATTCAGTAAAAGAGGTAAGCCAGGCATATGTATAAATCAAGGAAAAGTAAAATATAGTTAATGGTATAGTAGTAGAAGCTAAGCACTATAATTCAGAAAAGAAAGCCTAGAATAAAGCCTCGGGGAGGATTACTTTTGATAGAAGCTATAACACAGCACAGTGAAAAGTCACAACTTAAGTTTGATAAAGAAAATCATCTTTAAGACTGCAGGAAATCACAAATTTCCCATTCTAAAAATCCCATGAAAGGAAATCTTAATTTCCAGAAAAAGTGGGCCAGATAATTTAATTGTGATCCATCCTCTTCTTTAGGGTACATATAACAGAAAAACTTTTAAAAAATAATTCTTCAATAGAAAAACTAACAAGTTAGAAAAGAATTTGAAAAAAAATCTAGGTGAAAGCTAAAAATCAGAAATTAAGCACAACATTCAAAGTGGATTTCATCCTGAGGATGTCTCTAACTTGAAAACTATAGTACTGATGCCATTAAAAACAACATAAACAAAAGTTAAAGACAGGAGTCTACGCTGGATATGGTGTCTGATAGCCACCTATGTACATCTCCTTCATAAGCCGGTACCAAAGAACTACATCCTCAAGGTAAAGGTGAAATGTGAAACAGTGAGAATAATGGACAGTATGAATGGACCCAAAGAGAATTTTGACTGTGAATGAAACATATAGATTATAAAATGCATCTATAGACACCTGATTCTTGACAAAGGAGCCAAAAACATAGGCTAGAGAAAAACAGCCTCTTTAACAAATGGTACTGGGGGGCGCTGGGGATTTAGCTCAGCGGCAAAGCGCCTGCCTGGCAAGCGCAACGTCCTGAGTTCGGTTCCTGGTACCGGAGAAAAACCAAAAAACAAATGGTACTGGGAAAACTGGAAATTCAACTGCAGAATATTAAAACTAGATTCAAATCAAAGACCTAGACATAAAAACAGAAACTCTGAAACTGTTGGAAGATAACATAGAGGAAATACTTAAACCCATGGGCCCAGGAAAAGACTTCTTGACTAGAACTCCAACAGGATAGAAAATATCAAAAATCACTCAGGGGGACTTAAGTTAAAAAGTTTCTCCATAAGAAGCAATCAACAGAGACAATCACTGTTCTGTACTACAAATGTGAACTAATTTTTTTTTAAAAAACCACATTCTATAAAAAAAAGTGAAAAAGATCTTATTTAAGAATAAATCATATTTAAGTATGTTTAAAAAGGTGTTTAACAGTGAGCACGCTGAAAAGGTTTAATTCAGCTGTCACAGAAACACATGACACTACGATTGGGCCTACAGCTGAGCCATGCACTTAAATTACTTCATTTACCAGATATGTGGTTTTAAATGTCTGATGCTGCAGCATTACCCTAACCAAGTATCAAATTCTTGGAGGGTCAGAGTGAAGACTGACAACTGGTACATGGTCTTGACATAATTTTTCCTTTCTTCAGACCCTGAAGAATGCCCCCATAAAGGCATTAAGACTTCACTAGAGAAAGACAACCAGCAGCCTCTACTTTCAGACCCCTACCAACCGCCCACAGTTCATCTTAGGGCTCCAACTGGAAGATATAAAAACTGCCTTTATGTCAGCTCAGTTTACGTCAAAAAGGACTTTTACACACTGATTCCTTTCAACAGTGCCCTCCAACCCTCCTGGAGTCCACTGTAGACCCCCTCTGGCTGTGCGTGTGTGTGTGTGTGTGTGTGTGTGTGTGAGAGAGAGAGAGAGAGAGAGAGAGAGAGAGAGAGAGAGACAGAGACAGAGAAAGAGACAGAGACAGAGAGACAGAGAGACAGAGAGACAGAGACAGAGAATGAATATTCGCATTCAGAAAATAAAAGCCACATAAGTTGTTTTCCAGGGATCATTTCTATAGTATGTTCCTCCAACATTTAAAAATCGCTGCTATGAACAAATAGGTCTTCCTTCTCCCCCTGTCGGGACTGACGATTCCCAAGGGCCACAACTCTCAAGACGCCTCAGCTCTCGGTCTTCATTCTCTAAGTGACCCGCAAAACGGGCAGGCTGGCTTGTTTTCTACTTGGAAAGGATGCACTCAGCACAGCGACTGCGTGGTACAGGGTGCATGTGCTTCCCACCCTGCACTTACACGCTGAGGTTCAACCACTTACACCGGGCGTCCCCACACCTCCGAGTAGCCTGCAGTTGCTCCAAAATCTCTGGAACAGAGCCGGCCGCTCACTCGAGACCCGGGGGCCCCATTTAGCAGAAAAGTGGGGACGCGACCAGAGAGGCGCGGAATGGTGGGCCGGCCTCCGAGGGTCGGCAGCCTCGCTCCACCACACTCAAGCTTTTCCTACAGGCTCCCTCGGCTCCGCTCAGGCGAGGCCCGGCCAGCTCCGGGCCCCGGCGACTCAGGACACTGGACAAATGTGTGGACTGAGTGCAGCCTGGCTCTAACTCTTAACTCCAGCCACGGCTCACCATCTCCTCAGCGAAGAAGCCCAGGCTGTTTCGCCGCTTGGCCAGAACCCAGGACGCACTCACCTACTAGCGCGCGGGAGGCGAGACTCCCTCACCTCGGCGGCGCCAACCCCAAACCGCCACTACAAAGGCCGTCACTCTTTAAAAAAAAAAAAAAAAAAAAAAAAAAAAAAAAAAGAGTGAGAGAGAAAAGAAAGAAAAAAACTAAAGAAAGAAAAAAGCCTTTGCTTTTGTATTCCTTTTGACCCTTTAGGGCTTCCTGTTCCTCACCGCCACAACAAAGTTCCACCCTGCTTCCGGCGGCGTAACCCAATCAACAGCTCTTTCTCTCCTCCCAAGCCCCATGGATATCCGGTGGTACAAATGCGAACCGGAGAGACTTCATTGGGTTATTCACCTCTCAGCAAGAGGATTGGCCAACTCACGCCCGGGGGGCGGGACGAGTCATGGAATCACGTGACACGATTCTTGATGGATGATTGGCTTTTAGGAAGAGGGATTGCCACCGGGGAAGGGGCGTTTCCTAGGTGACTGAGGGTGGGTCGGGGCGGTACGAAGCGGGGGTGGGCCCTGCGCGTAATGGCAGCGCCGTGGCCTCGCGTCCATCTTTACCGCTCTCTTGGACCTGTCACAAAGGAGTCTCACTGCTGCCGCTGTCCCCTACCTCCGGCTGGCCCCGGAGCTAGAGAAAGTCAGTGCCTCAACCCTGTCGCGCGGCTCCGGGGAGTCCCGTGGGGACGTGAGGGGGAAGCCGAATCCGAGGGCTGAGGACGTCTGTGAGGGACGGAAACAGTCACTTGAACCTGGGGCGGAGAGACCGGACTGGGGTCGCGGCAGGCTCCTGAATGGGCTGGGGAGGGGGTGGCGTTGGGCAGAGCCCAGAACACAACAGGGAGGTCTCCACCAAGGCCCGCGTTTAAGGCCCCTGATAGAGGGTTCCTGAAAGAGGGTGTTCCCCCTCTGAGGGGTCTCGATTGCAGGAAGTTCCGGGGGTCTCTTCCGAGGCAGCTGCGGCTAACGCGGCCCAGGTGAGAAGCAGGTATCTTCCGGGCAGGCTCCTGGGACTGAGTAGTGCTCCTCAGGATTCCCGGGACAGAAGGGACAAGGGGGAGGACGCTTTGGGAGGGTTTCCTTTTGTGGAGTTTGCGGCTGAAATGGGAGGCAGAGCTCCCCCTGGAAGATCTAAAAACGCCTTGGGGTCGAGAGACAGAGTAGGAGAGCCAGACCTAGCGGATTCTCGTACTCGGGAGCCCCGAGCTAAATATTGAGTAAGGACCTTGGGGAGAAAGGGTCCTTTCTGGGCGGATGGGGGAATACCGTAGTGAGAGGGAACGGGAATGACCAGGGCTCGTCCCTCTCCCTGGAGACCGACCAGGTGCCTGAGACGCAGGATTCAGCTTCTTTTCGGCTTAGTGCCAGGGTGGGGTGGAGGGAGTCCATCTCACCAACACCCTCTTCGTGACTCCAGATTAGGCATTTGCCCTTGTTATTACCTCGCTTTCCCTGTTTTGGGGGAGTAGGACCAAGGAGAGCTGGTCAGCTGAGACTGAGCTTCTATCTTGGGTAGTTGTCTGAGTGAGGGTGCTACCCCCTGGAGCGTTGTACTTTGAACTTTTAAGGGTTGGAAGTGTCTATTATTGACTGAGTAGAGACCTGCAGTTTTCCAGCCCCGTCACCTACCATCTGCTTGTCCCTGGTGTAGAGTGATTTAACTTCCTTGAGTCTGTTCCGTAAAAGAACTAATGCAGTGTGTGAAAGTACTTTTCAAACTACAGGCTGAGGGTGAAGTTAGGAGCTATCTGGTATTCCACCAGCAAACCGGTTGCTGTTGAGGAATAAACGTGAAAACACTTTCTAAACTGTAAAGCATTATGTAGATATATGACATTAGCATTAGTACAGTTAGTTGTTGATCACCTACATAGGAGCCATTTTGTACTGAAAGCTTCGTTTGCAGCTTTTTAGGTGATATTATAATCTAAACCCATGATTTCAAACCCTATTTTGATGGGAAGAGAGTGATTTCCAGGTTTTGCTCTCTGAGTTTTAATTTACTTTGAACTTCTGGCAGCAGTTAGCACTATAATATAATCTTCAGGAAGTTTTCCCTGACAGCTGAAATTTTCCTCGAAGTAATTTGACCTCGGGATTATAAACCTCCTCTCTTCATATATGTATTCATGACTTTTGATACAGGTAGTAAAATCAATGCGTTCTGGCTCAGTCGTGATTTGAAAATAAGACAACCTTCTTCCTTTCATGAATTTTATGCCTTGTGGCTGGCCTGGAGTATAGGTTATAATTTCTTTTCTGTAAGGATTCTTTTAATTTTTCACCTTAGGTAGAGTTTCCATTTCCTGGTATGATATCTTCCTTTGTAGAGCCTTCAATGAGGTCATAATATTTGTATACATGGATGGTACTTTGCTAATGTATGGTTAGTGGCATTTTTTAGAGCTGGTTTTCCAAGTAATGGGTAATTTATTTGTGATTTTTTAAAACTAGCTTTTCTTTTTTGCAGTGTTGGGAATCAAACCCAGGACGTTGCTCAGGCTAGGCAAGCTCTCCAACTGAGCTACATCCCCAGCCCCAATTTTTCCAATGTTATATTTAGTGGGTCTTTATTTTAAAAAACAAAACAAAAATGGTAATTTTATGAGCTTTCTAATTTCTCAGGATATATGATGTCCTAACCTGCCTAATGTCTGTATTCTGCTTGTTTTTTACAAATCCTTTATTTTTTTCTGTACTTAATGATATTTTTGTTGATTATAGGAAGTATTCCAGCATACTCCATGTGAATTTTTTGCTTTGTCAGCAGAATAACTTTTCCTCTAGCAAGAATGAGGGGAAATAAAAACTTAGCATTTTGTACAATGGTGTGTTATTCTATAGTGAATAGGGGGAAAAAAACAGCTCTAAAGTATGTTTTGGCAAGAGAAAACAAAATTGTTGTGTTCTTGAAGTGCTTTTACAACAATCTGTTTCCACTCCACTTAATTTAGCCTATTAAGAATCATTTATATTTTCTTTTTTTTTTTTTGGTACCAGGAATCAAACTCATGACCTCACACTTGTCAGGCAGGCACTGTGCCACTGACTTATATCCCTGGCTCAAGAGTCATTTATATTTCCCCAAGTAATGAAGTAACTTATTATACTGAAATGAGAAATCACTTTTTTTCTTTTTTTTTTTTTTTTTTTTTTTTTGTACCTGGAATCGAACTCATGGCGTGCTTGCCAGGCAGGCACTGTGCCACTTAGCTATATCCCCTGCCCTCATTCTTTAAAATACAATTGTTTTTCTTTCTTTTTATTTTATTTTATTTTTTTTCTTTCTTTTTAAATCTGAGAGTTTGGAGAAACTGTTAACCACTCTTGAAGATGGTAGTCAGTATTGCACAATTTTATATTAGAAATGTTCTTATTTTAGGGTGGTATCTTTCTTTGTAAAGTTGAATGTGATAGTCATAGAGTTCCAAAAGTAAGTGTAAAGTCAATAGGCACCACAAATGAGAAGCACAGTGGAGCCAGTTCAAAGAGTTCTTCTGAGTTAGTAAACTACGAACTTAACTTCTCTTCAAGGTTTTGGCACTTTTAAGGCACTTACCATTAAATTGGGATAGTTTTTTCCCTGGTATTCAAATTAGAACATTGAAAAACAGAATGGTCAGGAAGTAGTGAATGCCAAAACTTTTTAGACCAAAAACTCTAGGAGGAAACTTTTACAACTTTTAGAAGTGCAAAATAATAATTTTCCTTTGGTTTATCTATTCAGTCAGCTTTTATGTAGTTTTCTTGCTAATCTTTTTTTATCAAATGTTTAGGACTAAAACAAAAAAGTACAGATTTGTCACATTTTGCTTTCAGTATTCATTCCAAAAGGGAGTGGTTACTGGTTAAATATATAAAAACAGGTAGCTATAGATAAACTTGTGATATATACAAGGGTAAATCGGATAAAGTTACCTTTTAAATAATGATGGACTATTAAAGGGTGTTCCACTTTCTGAATGAGAAGACATTTGAAATTGTGAACAGCCGATAAACTAACGTTTGTTAAGGAGTGAACTCTGCATATAGATTCTTAAGGCTTAAAATTACAGTTTCCAGACATGATTTCATGGATCCTATGTGCCTGAAATAGGAGGTTTGAAATACCTTACTCAGCTAATATAGCATTACCTCATAGTTTAAGGTTTCGGTGTTAGTTTTTTCTTACGCCTACTACCTCCTGAATAATTATGTTTTTTCTCTGTTCATTTAATGCAGTGATTCTCAAAATATGGTAACTATCCCACCCCTTCTCATGGGAAGGAATTGCAGCTCCTTTTGTTCAGTTCTTATTGCTTCGTAGTTGTTCATACTTACATATGCCTGACAGCTACTCATTAATAACCTACTAAGTAAATTATTACATAGTGTAGGTAACCCAAAACAAAAGTGATTCGAATTTACTGTGGTCTGCAGTGTCTTTTCCTCCCAGGTAGTCTCTCCTGGGAAACTGGCACTAATGCAAAGCTTCTCACATTCATATGCAGAATGAGAATTCTGCCATATTGGGGTGACTGCTTCATTTTGGGTACATCATCAGTGTTATCTCAGAATTATCTTGGTTTTTCATTGGGATGCTTTACATTATGATTCCTTTTTGTTAGGTTTTTTTCGTTATCATTACTATTTAGCTTTAGCTTTATCATCTTAATTTATGAACTTTTAACTTTTCACTGTGTGACTAGGGATATTTGTACCACAATATTTTGGCATATAATTTAAAGTTCACCATAATGCAAACAGACCTCTATTCCCCTTTTGCTAATACTAGTTTATACAGCCATCTAAGAACTTGCTCATACAAATAGTACAATGTTATCAAGTTCCTTTTCCACTGGAAAATTGGGGCCACAGACCTCCTTCTAGTGAACCTGATGCTTTATCCACAGGCTTCAGGTAAGAAGCAAAATGTATTGCTAATCTTTGTCCCTAATCCCAGCTCCCTTACCAAAAGGATGTGGAACATTTTTTCATCTTTCCTGAGTTCCTGGCTTTTAACCATTGGGTGTATAGTTATTGAGTGTATTGGATATGTATTTATTTATTCAGTTTGTTTGTTGTACTATGGATCAAATCCAAGGGGCCTCTACCATATCTCCAGCCATTTTTATTTTTTATGTTGTTGTTGTTGTTGTTGTTTGAGATGGTCTCGCTATGTAGTTCAGGCTGGATTTGAACTCTGCAACTCAAGCTGGCCTCAAACTCCTAGCAACCCTCCTGCCTCAACTTCCTGAGTATTGAGATTATAGACATGTGCCACCATGCCTGGCTTTTATGTTTTATTTTGAAATAGGGTCTCACTAAGTTGCCCAGGTTGGCCTCAAACTTGGCAGTCCTCCTACTAACCCTTCTGAGTAGCTGGGGTTACACACATCTGTCATTGTGCCCAGCAGTATTTGTTTCCTAAAGTGGCAAATATTTTGGAAACACTCTATTTTTGCAAGTTTTTAAAATTAAACTGTATTGACTACCTATTAGGTTCTAGTAGGTATCCAAAGTATGCACCTGGGTGTTTTTAGACACCATTTTAAGTAGGTGTCATTAAGCAAAGTATTGCCATTCATTTGGTTTACATATTTTGTTTGCTTTTCTTTTGAGGGGGGCGGGGGTTTCCCGTACTGGGAATCGAACTCACGACTTTGCGCTTGCCAGGCAGGCACTGTGCCACTAAGCTAAATCCCCAGCCCCTTGTTTGCTTTTCTTAATAGTGTATTTTCTTCAACAGAAAAGTCCTTTTCCTTCAGATTTGTGTATATTTCAGTGTCATAGCTATATGATTTCCTGTTATTTGGTATCCTGGGGAAATCTCAAATAGTATGGAATATTACATTTCTCTTTTTCCCCTGTACTACAGCTGTCATTAACACCTAAGTTCTTCCATAGTATTTCCTTTTGAGCCTCAAGACAGATTTCTGAACCCTTGAGATGTCAGGCAAGGATTATTTAATGCTCCTTTTTCACTATTATTTGCTTC